CCCCCAAAATCAATCCCAACCTTCCTTTCGTGGTATTGAACCTTATGGTAAAATTTCATGGAGATCCATTCACTTAAACTAAAGTTAGAGTGCGAAAACCAATGTGTCTTCGGACGACGCTGGACGACGCCAGACGACGACGACGACGACGACGCCAACGTCATACCAATATACGACCAAAAAATTTTTAATTTTTGTGGTCGTATAAAAATTAATGCATGCAACAATTTCTGAATTTACAGTATCTAAAATTAATTGTTGAATCTCTTTTATGATGTCTTGGCGTATATAGTTTCAGAACAGACCAGTTAACAAAGTGTCAGTCATTATGGTACAAATCCTATAACTCTTGCTATAATTGTCAAATCAAAATGATAAGGGTAAAGTCAACTACAGATGATGACATACAATCTGACCAAATATTGAGATTTAGTGATCAGAAGATGTCACTATGCTCCAATAAGCCAATAAAGGTCAAAGTCGACAACTCAAATAAAAAATGCAGTATAGTATGGTCAACCACATATGATGACAATTCTACCAAATATGATATGGTTCAGACATTTGTTTTAAAAGAGTTGCATTTTAAATACAAGGTAGTAGTTTGAGGATAGACAAAAGTCCCACAAGTTCAAGAGATATTGTCAAATCAAAAGATCATCATAATGGTGACAATTTATTCTAAAAATTGGATGATAATGACAGATTGGTCTTTAACTTCCAGTGGCAACTTTTACCTGCATAGCATGAGCATACTATACAGAAACCTCTCGGGCGGTGAAATGCTTAGGACATACTGTTTCGGAGAAGAAGCATTTACAAGATGTTTTTGTGTGTCAATAGGCCAAAAACAGTCAAGGTCCCATAACTACCACAAAAACTATGATGGCAAACAATCCTACCAAGTATGAGCGCTTTCAAATTAATTGTTAACTATGGTGACTGTCTTTGGAGGATTGTTGTCTCATAGGCAATCATAACATATCTCCTTATTTTTATATCTTACTGTAAAAGGAGTCCAATGATAGGGTTGGATGGAAGAAGATTATATCTAGGTCCTCCACAATGATGCAAGAGGGAACAAAGTTCAATACCCAATCTAATTTCCAATAAAATGCTCCGCAGGGCGCAGCTTGATACGACCGCAGAGGTCGAACCCTGAACAGTTGGGGCAAGTATGGACACAACATTCAAGCTTGATACAGCTTTGCATTTGGATTGTGATTAAATATTTGACACAGCATAGGTTTCTGACACAGAATGAATGTGGTCTAAGAACTTAAAAATTTTAAATTGGACATTCACCTATTATGGTCCAATATCTAAAATCTAAATACATGGTTAGATTCAGCATATCAAAGAACCCCAAGAATTCAATTTTTGATGAAATCAAACAAAGTTTAATTTTGGACCCTTTTGACCTCAATGTGGAAAAAGTTGATAATGGGGCCCAAAAATCAAAAATCTAAATACATGGTTAGATTCAGCATATCAAAGAACCCCATATATTCAATTTTTGTTGAAATCAAACAAAGTTTAATTTTGGACCCCGATTTGGACCAACTTGAAAACTGGGCCCATAATCAAAAATCTAAATACATATTTAGATTCAGCATATCAAAGAACCCTAACAATTCAATTTTTGTTAAAATCAAACTAAGTTTAATTTAGGACCCTTTGGACCTTAATGTAGACCAATTTGAAAACGGAACCAAAAATTAAGAATCTAAATACACGGTTAGATTCGGCATATCAAAGAACCCCAATAATTCAATTTTTGATGAAATCAAACAAAGTTTAATTTTGGACCCTTTGGACCTCAATGTGGACCAATTTAAAAACGGGGCCCAAAATCCAAAAATTTAATACACGGTTAGATTCAGCATATTAAAGAACCCCAAGAATTCAAGAATAAAACCCCATTGAAATTGGTCAAGAAATAAGCAATTTATACGAAGTATCTTCTTTTGCACAATACTGTGCAATTAAATATTTCTTGCTATTGCGCAATACTGTACAATTGACAATTTCTTGCTATTGCGCAATATTGTGCTATTGGATATTTCTTGCTATTGCGCAATACTGTGCAATTGAAGATTTCTTGCTATTGCGCAATACTGTGCAATTGAAGATTTCTTGCTATTGTGCAATACTGTGCAATTGAAAATTTCTTGCTATTGCACAATAATTTACACATCCTGTTTGGTGTGTATCTCCTACCATATCATTATTATTTGCTTTTAAATATAAATCAGAAATAACCAACTTAAAATGGAAAATTTTAAAAGAAAAAAAAAGGAAAAAAAGAAAAAAAAGGAAACCCCCCCCCCCCCCCCCCAATTTTTTGAACCCCCTTATGATTCATCACCCCCAAACTCAATCCCAGCCTTCCCTTTGTGGTATGGTACTTTGCAGTACAATTTCAGAGAGATCCATACACTTGAACACAAGTTATTGCCTGGAAACTAGAAAAATGTGTTTTTTTCCCCTTTTTGGCCCCAAATTCCTAAACGTCTAGGGCAATTACCCCCAAACTCAAACCCAGCTTTCCCTTTGTGATATGGAACCTTGTAGTACAATTTCAGAAAGATCCATACACTTACACACAAGTTATTGTCCTGAAACTAGAAAAATGCTTGTTTTTTGCCCCTTTTTGGCCCCTAATTCCTAAAATATTGAGGCAATTACCCCCATCATCAATCCCAGCCTTCCCTTTGTGGTATGGTACCTTGCAGTACAATTTCAGAGAGATCCATACACTTAAACACAAGTTATTGTCTGGAAACTAGAAAAATGCTTATTTTTGGCCCCTTTTTGGCCCCCAATTCCTAAACGTTTCGGCAATTACCCCCAAACTCAATTCCAGCTTTCCCTTTGTGATATGGAACCTTGTAGTACAATTTCAGAAAGATCCATACACTTACACACAAGTTATTGTCATGAAACTAGAAAAATGCTTGTTTTTTGTCCCTTTTTTGGCCCCTAATTCCTAAAATTTTGAGGCAATTACCCCCAAAATCAATCCCAGCATTCCTTTTGTGATATGGAACCTTGTGGTACAATGTCAGAGAGTTCCATACACTAACACACAAGTTATGTCTGGAAGTTACAAAAATGCTTATTTTTGGCCCCTTTTTGGCCCCTAATTCCTTTACTGTTGGTACCATAACCCCCAAAATCAATCCCAACCTTCCTTTTGTGGTATTGAACCTTGTGGTAAAATTTCATAGAGATCCATTCACTTAAACTAAAGTTAGAGTGCGAAAACCAAGTCTTCGGACGACGCCAAATTTTTTTGCGGTCGTATAAAAATGACTTATCAATTACTAGTTTGCCTCCCTTTTTTATATGCAAAAAGAGACAGATTTTCATTTGAATTCTTTTTATTATAATGAGTTATATATAATAATGAAAAATACAAAATTATGATAACATGCGCAGAATACAACCACATAGATCATTATTAATAAAAAAATGCTCCACAAGATCTTTTACCAGTAACAATCTCAACAGGTACTATACATCTTAAAAATCTTAATAACTTTCTAGTATTCTCACATGTTCTTTTAGACGTCATATCAAAATATCAATTGTCCAGTCTAAAAGAACAGGACAAATCTTATAATACTTTGATTTTGAAAGCTGTGAATATCATTAGTTTCTTAATATTAAAATAAAACTTTCATGTGAAATGGAATAACAAAAACAAATGCCATTATTTACTTCCGAAATGGAATAACAAAAACAGTTGCTGTTAAACATTGACTTCTGAAAGAGAATTACATAAACAGTTGCTGTTACTGACTTCTGAAATGGAATAACAAAACCTGTTTTTGTTATTGACTTCTGAAATGGAATAACAAAAACAGTTGCTGTTATTGGCTTCTGAAATGAAATAACAAAAATTGTTTTTGTTATTGGCTTCTGAAATGGAATAACAAAAACAATTGCCATTATTGGCTTCTGAAATGGAATAACAAATACAATTGCCATTATTGGCTTCTGAAATGGAATAACAAAAACAATTGCCATTATTGGCTTCTGAAATGGAATAACACAAACAATTTCCATTATTGACTATTGATATGTTTTGGGTTTTTTTGCCATGGGATATGCTAGGTATAATACGGAGTCATAATAATAACAGTAATAAACATTATTATTGATTTTTTTATTCACTAAAAGCCCCTAGAACTTCATCATTTTTTTTTTCAATGTATTTTTTTTTTTAGATAAGATACTATTGTTTTCAGAATCAATACATAATTTAAGGCAAATAGCATATATCATAGAGTTAAGAAAATAAAAATTTGAATTTATCACATGCTTATTCTAGATTCTATCATATTTTTATTTATATATCAATATATATCTTTTAATATATTTATATAAAAAAATAATATCAATAAAAACATTCAGACTAGACAAAACCACCCAATATTAATGCTCCATTAATGCAAAAAATGTGGCAATATCAGGTTTGCAATAAAAACTTGCATTCATAATTGAGGGTGGTAAAGGGTTATTTTCGTGCAACGTGATCGCCGTTTTTTATTTCACGTTCAACATGTTTTTACTTTTTTATTTGACGTTCAGTCGTGCAAGACAGGTACCTCGTTCAACGTGTTCTGCTTATTTAATTTTACGTGCATCGTGATGTTCAAATGCTTATTTTGCGTGCTCGGTATTTTTCAAATAAAATTCAAATACTTGGCAGGGATCGTCAAGAAATACTTTTTTAAAAGCCGTAAACCATTTACATCATAAATGTGTATACTAAATCGGGAATAACAAGTAAAACAGAGAGTTTATATATACAAAAAGACAGTGACTCAGTCACAAAAGGTTCACAACAGTCTTTATTTTTCGTGCAACGTTCATGACAGAAATTATTTCACGTTCAACGTGAAATTATGTCTTATTTCACGTTTTTTTGCAATTGTATTAATTAGATCTCACATATTCAACCAGTAATCAGTGTTCAATAATAAATGCATGCATTAATTTCTGAATTTATAGTATTTCATCATTCATAACAATTATTGAAGATTGAGCATTTAAATTGTTACATGTGTAGCCTTGTTTACTATGCAGATATTATACTAGACTACATCTAGTAATGTATTTATTGACTTTATTTCAAATTCTTGCTGACTGAACACTTTCTTTTACAACTGATCATCTTACAACAGCTCTTAAAGTTACTCTATGAACAAATAAGCATCATGTATCTATATTATAAAAACTCATAATACAATGTACCTAAATAATGATTTGGTACTGCTGCAAGTTTTAGAATGAAAAATGTTTTTTAATACATATCTGATATATATGCAAGGATTGTTGGCAACGTGACCAGAGGAATTTGATTTAAAAATGAATACAATATCCAATGTAAATATACAAGTTTGTTGAATAAAATATTTTGAATCAAAACTACATTATGTATCTTTGATATTAAGAAACAAAACTACATTATATATCTTTGATATTATGAAACAAATAACAACGAACTACATATTAAGCTGAAGTAACCAATACATTTTTGGCAAGAGCATTACTAAAATTTGGCATACTCTAAATCAAATACTGTGGATTCATTTATTTTTGTGTGTACCAATTTTCGTGGATTTAGGAAATCTTGCATTTTCGTGACTATTTGATTTCAAGGGTTTGGCCAAAGCCTGCATTAATTTTAGTATCCCACAAATAATAATGAATCCAAGGTAGTATACTTCCTTATCATTACAGCATTGTGACTCTAAAAATAACAACACATTTATAACAACGATTGGAAATTGTCTCAACTACCGAAATGAGGCGGTGGTCTATGGGACTAATATGTTGGAAATTGTCATCAGCGACATGCAATTTTAAAGAGTGAAGAGTTGAGGGCCTTTTATAAACAAATAATATTTTATAGTGTGTCTTTTTATGTTGTAATGTTACACTATTGTCTCAGGTTAGGAAGAAGGTTGGCGCCTGTTTTAATGTTTAAACCCGCTGCATTTTTATGCACCTGTAGTAAGTCAGGAGCCTGTTTTTCAGTGGTTATCGTTTATTTGTGTGGTTCATAGGTGTTTCTCTTTTTTATATAGATTAAACCTTTGGTTTACCTGTTTGAATTGTTTTACACTTGTCATTTTGGGGCCCTTTATAGCTTGCTGTTCGGTGTGAGCCAAGGCTCTGTGTTGAAGGCCGTACTTTGACCTATAATTGTTAACTTTTTATACATTGTGACTTGGATGGGGAGTTGTCTCAATGGCACTCATACCACATCTTCTTATTTATATAAACAAGAGTGCACACGCTGAAATGTCTCGCCTACTATACTGACCATTGATTTTATGTTGATAGTCCTACATATAAAGTTTTACTACAAGTATCACATTAACATTTATGATCCAAGAAAATGAGGTCAAGGTCAGATAAACCAAACCGGAAATACATGTACACCTTTAATACAATCATTCCATACACAGAATATAGATGACCTATTGCTTATAGTATAAAAGAAACAGACCAAACCATGGAAATTCTATACTGACCAATGAACCATGAAAATGAAGTCAAGGTCAGATGAACCCTGCCAGACAGACATGTACACCTTAAAATCATTAACATTACAAAAAAATCTTAACTTTTTTTTCAAGTTGTCACTGAACCATGAAAATGAGGTCAAGGACAATGGACATATGACAGACGGAAACTTTATATCATAAGGCATCTATATACAAAGTATGAAGCATCCAGGTCTTCTACCTTCTGAAATATTAAGCTTTTAAGAAGTTAGTTAACGCCTCCGCTGCCAAATCACTATCCCTATGTCGAGCTTTCGGCGACAAAAGTCACAGGCTTGACAACAAAACTAATAATGATCATATGCTACAATGATACAATGAATGTTTACCACTCTAGCATTATTTCTTGAAATATTTTTTTGTGAAAATAGCTGCTTTCATGAATTTTTCAAAAAATTGATTTGATGTATACCATAAATCTATGAGGATGAAATTTAATAAATAACTTATGGTGCCAAAAGGAAATACTCTTTATGCAATTTAAACATTTTGTGAGAAATTTTCTTAAACTATCAGATAATCCCTTATGAGGATCTGGATGGGGTTTACAGAATAGAGAATAACGGGTTGATACTGCAGAAAAATGGGCAAAACATTTGTAAGGGTTCCGCGGAACCCAGTGTCTCGCCTACTTTTGCTGTTAATCGCAGGCTCAACAAAAATGAGGGGAAAAAAATAAAAATATTCCTCTCTATACTATCTTTTGATTGTAAGTAGCTTCTGTCAAAGTTTGTTAAAAATACGGATAATTTATGAATCTAATAAATGTTTTAAAAACTTAAACTGCAGACTGTATGTAATGTTGACTGGAAGAAAAACTAAGTCCATTTATAAGTAAAATATGGAAAAAATGGAACAAATTTTATCAAAATTTCCTTATAGATACTAGCTTTTGATCATAAACAAGCTTCTGTCCAAGTGTGGTACAAATCCAGGATAGTTTAAGAAAGTTGTTAAAATTTTAAAAACTTTAACCACAGAGTGAATGTAATGTTAACTGGCAGAATAACTAAGTCCATTTATAAGTAAAATACGGAAAAAATGGAATTTTTTTTTTACAAAATTTACTTCTGGATACTATCTTATGATCATAAACAAGCTTCTTTCCAAATTTGGTAGAAATCCAGGATAGTTTAAGAAAGTTATTAAAATTTCAAAAACTTTAACCACAGAGTGAATGTAATTTTTCCTGGAAGAAAAACTAAGTCCATTTAAAAGTAAAATACGGAAAAAATGGAATTTTTTTTTTACAAAATTTGCTTTGAATATAATCTTATGATCATAAACAAGCTTCTGTCCAAGTTTGGTAGAAATCCAGGATAGTTTAAGAAAGTTATTAAAATTTCAAAAACTTTAACCACAGAGTGAATATTTGTGGACGCCGCCGCCGCCAACGGAATGTAGGATCGCTATGTCTCGCTTTTTCGACAAAAGTCGAAGGCTCGACAAAAAAAAATAAAGAATAGAAAAAATATGCCAAAAAAAAAACATAATAGAGAATAAGGGAATGCTAAAATATAAAAAAAATAAGAGAATAATGGAATGCTAAAATATAAAGAATTATAGAGAATAATGGGCAAAAAATATAAAGACTTAGAGAAAAATAAACTTAAAAATAAAAAAATACAGAAATGACATCCCATCCAGACTTTCCCCTTAATATGTCTCTCTGTTATCTATTATGCATACACACTACACTAAAGTCATCACTTTTCATAACTCATAAAATATAAAGAAAATGAATACAATCATGGTTTAAAAAAAAACCTTGAAAAATGACAAAGATTTGAGTTAAAAACTAAAAGTCACATAGAACATTTAAAACATTCAAATATCAATTATATAGAATGCATTTTATAAACACATAAAAGGGAAGATAACTCATAAAAAATTGATTATACATTTTATTACTTTATAAAAATAGTCTTCAAACAAGCATAAAGAAATAAAAGATTCAACACCTTTGAGTCAGGACAAGTGCAAAATGAAATGTTCAGAATTTTGTACCTTGTAATGTTACTGATAACTATTACGGGAAATAAGAATTGTCCTTAAAACAATTTCAATTTTAAAATGCCTGAAAATATAATTTTATTCACCAATAGTCTGCCCTAAACACACAAGAGGATGATGAAATGAACTATAATATGCACAAGTTTTGTTGTCATTTGAATGCATACCATGGTAAGTAAATGGTCCAAAATAAATTTGTTCACAGCTATGGAACTGATGATTTACAGTTGACAAATGACAGAGCTATCCATTAATTGGATACAAAATAAAATGTACTTGTACAAAATGTAATAAGTATTGTTGTTCACTTAATCTTAAGGTTACAGGATATATATTGTATGCATAATTTACTCTATTAACATTATTCATAGTCAATATTCATTTTCACAAAATATATTCACACAGGATTCATATATTAGCTGCAGGTTCAGTATATTTTTTTTAATATAATTTTAGTCAATATCTATTTCCTTCATAGGTGTATTTTCACTAACTTCTGAATCTTCTGAAAAAAATCATCAAATAATTAATACAAAGGTATCCACTTCATGGGCTCTACCGAAAGGATTCACACAGGCGTTGGTTCACCAAACGGAGTTTAAATTAATACAAAAGTCTAAGAAACAGGCATTAGCATTAATATTTTTAATGCATTTTATACTGCCTTAATTGTATCTTAAATATAAGACCATAAATACTTCAACCATGCTTAAATAAGGGCTATTCCATTAAAATGTATGTGGGACAGTAGGAAGGGAAGTTTAATTATTGAATGTGGGTCATGGGTCTTTTTTCAGTATGCGTCTATTACCATTATGCAAAATTATCTAAAAAATGGTTCTTGGTTGTAGGAATATTTTGAAAGTCCCTTCCTACCCTCCCACATACATTTTAATGGAATAGCCCTAAGCACATTTATTGTTTAAAAACCATTATAGATAAATTTATTGACCGACATACAAGTTTGTATTTGTGTTATTATTTCCTGTGTTCATACTTAGATACTATTTTAATAAACAAGTGGCATTTTTTTCCAAGTCAGACATAGAAGTTAATTATTTTGAACATACACAAACAATTTAGTACTAAAGAAATAAGGATGCTTTAAGACATTACTCCAACAAGCTTACATAGCTTTCTCAACCAATATGACAAATGTACAAAGTATAAGAATTGCAGTGATTGGTTGATTGTTTACTTAAGAATTGAATGCTTCTTTTTTAAATTTTATTGAGGTGTAAAAAAGTTGACCCAAGTACATTTCACACTTCATACTAAAAAGGTGCACACGATCAATGCTTTTACAACCCTATAAAATTACAAAAAGAAGCATAATTCTTATGAATACATTTTTATGCTACAACCATGAAATAACGAGTTATATCAAATTTTTCCCTTGTTTCTATGAATTGTTGTGACCTTGCCTTGAGAAGCATGGGCTGTCATGTATGTTGTATTTAACTGGTAAAAATAAAATCTTATTTTGGAATGCCTCTCGATTGTTGTCAGCCAATCAAAGATCAGAATTCTTATAAAACATACATGTAATGTAGTTTTTTTCTTTTTGTGTCATTAAAATTGTCTTAATTTCTATTTTTTTTCCATTGTTGTTCATCATCTTATTCACAACCAATTCAAGGTTGGAAATGAAAGGAGTCATGTATAATGTCATTTCTTTCTTTACTGAGAAAGTTCAAATGCATGAATAACTGGAAATTAAGGATATAAATACATGTACCTTGGAAAGCCATTTTATTCTGTAATTAATTAAATAGATATACAACTATATGGCATTTTTTCATACATTCTAGCTTTGATAATCTTAGGGCTAATATCATCCCTATCAGGAAGAATAATTTTGTTAGAATGATTCAATTGTTCTCAAATCTATCTTTGCAACATAACAACACATATAACTTGACCATTAACAAAGAGCAATCAACATTTTTAGCCAACAACCCAAACACAAATTTGATTACAACTCACCATCTGCTACTATTTTTCCACAATCTCCAACCACAACATTTTTGGCTTCAACATTGATATATTTTTTATTATAAACATTATTGTGATTAACTGAATTCTGGGGACAGCAATTTAGATTACAAGGCAAATCATTCCACTGTTGACCTGTAAAATTATTATTTATTATTAGTATATGTATTCTCTGCACGGCGACATAGTTTCACAGTTAAAATTTTAATACTGATATATCATTTTTATCATATTTTATCACACATTTTCTGAGACTCTTCTAGCTTTTGGGAGTAATGATCTGAGACACAACTAGTACACAAAAATTTAATGTACATCATATATGCATGTAATATTTTGAATCATTGACAATAACAGCAATTCAAGATTACTAAGTGTGAATCTTGTTGCTCTTGATGTACTGTGAAAGGACTTTTATTTATTTGTGGGTATCAATTTTCGTGGTTTGAGCAAAAGTTACATTTTCGTGGGTTCTTAAATTCGGGAGCGTAGCTATAATCTGACAACCCGAAATTCCGACAGTCCAGTAGTCCGACAGTCCGATAGTCTGACGCTCTAATAGTAATACGGTCCGACAATCTGAAGGTCCGACACGAAGCCGTGCTGCTGCAAAGGATATGGATCTCGTCTTCATATAAGCTCATTAGTATACTGTCGAAAAGCGAGCAGTGTTTAAAATTTAATAAAATGCTCCGCTGGGCGCAGCTTGATACGACCACAGAGATCGAACCCTGAACTGTTGGGGCAAGTATGGACACAACATTCAAGCTTGATACAGCACTGAATTTGGATTGTGATTAAATATTTGACACAGCATAGGTTTCTGACACAGAATGAATGTGGTCTAAGAACTTAAAAATTTTTAATTTACCTATTCAAACCATATCATTATTATTTGCTTTTATATATTAATCAGAAATAACCAATTTAAAATTTGGAAACTAGAAAAATGCTTATTTTTGTCCCCCTTTTGGCCCCTTATTCCTAAACGTTTTGGGCAATTACCCCCAAACTCAATTCCAGCTTTCCCTTTGTGATATGGAACCTTGTAGTACAATTCATAAAGATCCATACACTTACATACAAGTTATTGTCATGAAACTAGATGCTTGTTTTTTGCCCCTTTTTTTGCCCCTCATTCCTAAAATTTTGAGGCAATTACCCCCAAAATCAATCCCAGCATTCCTTTTGTGATATGGAACCTTGTGGTACAATGTCAGAGAGATCCATACACTAACACACAAGTTATGTCTGGAAGTTACAAAAATGCTTATTTTTGGCCCCTTATTCCTTAACTGTTGGTACCATAACCCCCAAAATCAATCCCAACCTTCCTTTTGTGGTATTGAACCTTGTGGTAAAATTTCATAGAGATCCCTTCACTTTAACTAAAGTTATAGTGCGAAAACCAATGTGTCTTCGGACGACAACAACGACGCCAACGTCATACCAATATACGACCACAAAAAATTTTTTGCGGTCGTATAAAAAGTGGAATGCGTTGTAATGGGATCCAAATTAAATCCTATACTGTATGAACAATTAATCTAAGATTCCATTCCTGTTCATCATGTCGAAATTCATAACAAGAATGTATGTTTACATACATGCGCATGCGTGTGCATGTAACGTATTATGTCGGGTTGAATGTGAAATTTCACATGTATTAGATGTATGCTTCTCATATCTGAGGGGCGTTAGCTCCAAAGATATGAGTTGATTACATCAAATTGATTTACATAGAAGTAATATAATTTTTTTTATCTTTTCTCTTGTTTTTAAAAGAGCAATTAGTTTTGATAAAATAGGAATAGTGTCAATATCTCAAACTTTCCAGATGCAGTAAATACTTTTCTGGTTTAATTGCCACAACCTGAACTTTTTGCTGATAAATGATAACACTTCTATGTAAATTATAATATGGACCTAAGCATTCCTAGTCATATAATCATCACAACATGACACCAATTATGTGAAGAAGAACGGAACGAAGATGGGCAATGATGTGAAACAGTACTTATTCACACACAGCAGACAAAGCAGGTAGTAGTTAAGACCGATGGCTGTAGTGCTGAAGGTCCTGGGTTCAATTCTGGCTCTGGGCGCTAGACATTTCTTTAATCAGAAGGGTGAATTTTCACCCTCCCTCTAACATCTCTTGTACCCAGACCGGAGTTTAAACTTTGGGGCCCAAATTCCCGGTAATAACCTTTGCAGAAATCCCTAAAGTGTGTATGGTTTCGAAGTAGAAGCATACAACGTGCTTCCAAATAAAATTGACACTTGAGTTAACATAAGGGATTAACCATTCGATTTTTATGGGGCTAAGATGGACTTTGAAATAATAAGGCAGGACCCAAAATTTTGCGAAAAAAATTTATGATCTAAGGTGATCTACATTCACCTCCATGACTATTTATAATATGAAGAATATTGTGTGTATAAAAATGTGATGTGAACAAATGTAAGTGAAAAAAGTTTCTTTCTTAGCCTTCCTCATAAATTCAAATGGTTGCCCCCAGTATGACACCCGTCAATCAGGGCTCTACATTGCAACTTAAACGTTTTCATGTCAACAACGTCACGTGTAAAATCCTACGTTTATAAACATCGTAAATTCCTCTGTCGTTTAATACTTCAATTTTGCTTGAACGGATTTTCGTAAATATTGATGTAAAAATCACTTAACTGGCCTTTTACTGTTTTAGCCCTATTCGTCAAAACTAGGTCGATTCCGTTCGACCGTCTAAGGGTATTAGCGGATTCATCCGAGGATTGCCGATTGAATTTAGGCGCTGTGTTCATTTCCGGTTCGTATGGGATTAATGCGGTCCTGTACAAGACGTCATACTGACTGATTTGATAATTTTCTGTGTAAAAAAATATACAAATTTAACGTTACATGTCTATATAGGCATATTTTTCAGATACAAGTGACCGCGCGTCGGACTATCAGGCTGTCGGATTATAGGACTGTCGGACTATAGGATTGTCGGATTATAAGACTGTCGGACTACAGGACTGTCAGATTATGGGATTGTCGGACTACAGGACTGTCGGATTATGGGACTGTCGGATTATAGGTCTGACCACCTTAAATTCATGGATTTAAGTTTTTCTGAAAAAAAATGGAGTGTAGAATTTGAAGCCATTAGAAACGAAACAAGTTTGAAAATCAGCACTGATCAAATACTTTATTCAGTATTGATGTCCTTTGGAAATGTGAAAACTATGGAAAATTGCATTGTAAATGCTCTCGATCAAGCCTATTCTTGTAAGATTTTTATAAAATTTATATCAAAGGTTTATATCAGCAATGTCTTGGATAAATTTGAAAATCATTTCCTATAAATTAATTAAAGAGGAATTATGTCCCTTTGAATTTCTTGTTATGATAATAAATAAATAAATAAGCTTATTTAGAGTCAGCATAGTATACAAACAAGGACATAACATAAGCTCTAATGAACTTTTAACCGACACATTGCCTGTCACCGAGGTTGTGAGTTCAAATCCAGCACATGGCAGCACCTGGTGCACTGGACTCCAATCTTAATTGACTAGGATTGTCAGTTTTTCTGCCGTAGATCGGTAGTTTTCTCTGGGCACTCCGGCTTCTTCCACAAATAAAATGCTTCGCTGGGCGCAGCTTGATACGACCACAGAGGTCGAACCCTGAACAGTTGGGGCAAGTATGGACACAACATTCAAGCTTGATACAGCTCTGAATTTGGATTGTGATTAAATATTTGACACAGCATAGGTTTCTGACACAGAAAGAATGTGGTCTAAGAACTTCAATTTTTTTAATTTACCTATTATGGTCCAATGTCCAAAATCAAAATACATGGTTAGATTCAGCATATCAAAGAACCCCATATATTCAATTTTTGTTGAAATCAAACAAAGTTTAATTTTGGACCCCAACTTGGACAAACTTGAAAACTGGTCCCATAATCAAAAATCTAAACACATGTTTAGATTCAGCATATCATAGAACCCAAAGAATTCAATTTTTGTTAAAATCAAACTAAGTTTAATTTTGGACCCTTTGGACCTTAATGTAGACAAATTTAAAAAACGGGACCCAAAATTAAAAATCTAAAAACATGGTTAGATTTGGCATATCAAAGAACCCCAATAATTCAATTTTTGATGAAATCAAACAAAGTTTAATTTTGGACCCTTTTGACCTCAATATGAACCAATTTGATAGCGGGCCCACAAATAAAAAATCTAAATACATGGTAAGATTCAGCATATCAAAGAACCCCATATATTCAATTTTTGTTGAAATCAAACAAAGTTTAATTTTGGACCCCAATTTGGACCAACTTGAAAACTGGGCCAAAAATCTAAAATCTAAATACATGTTTAGATTCAGCATATCAAAGAACCCCATATATTCAATTTTTGTTGAAATCAAACAAAGTTTAATTTTGGACCCCAACTTGGACCAACTTGAAAACTGGTCCCATAATCAAAAATCTAAACACATGTTTAGATTCAGCATATCAAAGAACCCCAAAAATTCAATTTTTGTTAAAATCAAACTAAGTTTAATTTTGGACCCTTTGGACCTTAATGTAGACCAATTTAAAAAACAGGACCCAAAATTAAAAATCTAAATACACGGTTAGATTTGGCATATCAAAGAACCCCAATAATTCAATTTTTGATGAAATCAAACAAAGTTTAATTTTGGACCCTTTTGACCTCAATATGAACCAATTTGATAGCGGGCCCACAAATAAAAAATCTAAATACATGGTAAGATTCAGCATATCAAAGAACCCCATATATTCAATTTTTGTTGAAATCAAACAAAGTTTAATTTTGGACCCCAATTTGGACCAACTTGAAAACTGGGCCAAAAATCTAAAATCGAAATACATGTTTAGATATAGCATATCAAAGAACCCCATATATTCAATTTTTGTTGAAATCAAACAAAGTTTAATTTTGGACCCCAACTTGGACCAACTTGAAAACTGGGCCCATAATCAAAAATCTAAACACATGTTTAGATTCAGCATATCAAAGAACCCTAAGAATTCAATTTTTGTTAAAATCAAACTAAGTTTAATTTTGGACCCTTTGGACCTTAATGTAGACCAATTTAAAAAACGGGACCC